GGGGCTAATGCAGGCTCAGCCTCTCACTGAAGCTGGGTCCTTCCTTCCTCCTTCACCTGGCAGGACAGATACTTTCCTGGGGTTCATATCTGACCAGGAGCAATACAGAAGGGCATGAACTTAAGCAGGACCCAAGTAAACCAGAAGGCAAGGGTGGGCAACACCACATGTCTGGCTGTTTTCTTGTTTTTTAATGGGTCCTTCATTTATCCCTCTGCCATTCCAGAAAACAGCATGAAAAGGAAAACTGAAGTCTTTATTGAAGTTGGGACCCTGGCATTTAGATGGAGATGGGAGATGGGATGATTCCCAGCCACTCTCTGAGTTCCAACCACTGACATTTGACTAATGAAGAGCCTTGTGACTGAGTGCCTGCCTGAGCCTGCCACTTCCTTCACATTACTTTTAACACTAGGAAGAGAATCTTCCCAGGCAGGATCCCTGAGGAGGAAGTGGGGCAGCTGCCCAGGTGGCCTGAGCCCCCACTGCCCTGGAATACCTGACCTTAGGCACCAACTCCATATCAATCAAGTAGGTGGGAGTCCACGGCCACTGTGCATGGTCCGTTGGGATCTGCTTTCCCTAGCTCTGCTCTGGCTTTTCTGCAGTTGATCCCTGTTGTAAGTTTCATGGACTTGTTGGCTTTTATGTGTAGGATTAAGTTGCCTAACCACATCATTATTTATTAATACCTTCTATTGTTGATGAACACACATGTGGCGTTCCACGACTAAACACTCAAGTGAACTGGGTTGCACAAAATAATCACACAGAGACGGAGTCCACAGGGCTCTGTGGATCCCAGAGTCCAAAGGGCCCCTGTTGCCTTCAGATGCTCCAGCTGCCAGTGACCACCTCCAGAAACAGGAGAAAAGACCCAGCTTGTTTATTCCACCCATCCCCCAATGGTCCTTAGGCTGTAACTCACAGCCTTACAGGAAACCAGGTGACCAAGGAGGCAGGACAGGCCATCTGCAGGCTGATGCCCTGCAGGTCAGGTGGCTGCAGGAAGCAGCCTGACCAACAGACAGTGTGGTAGAACAAGGCCATCAAAAAACCTCCAGCTCAGGGGAAATGACCAACATGGCTCCAGAATTTACACAGGAGCAAAGTTGAGAGGGAATTGGTGGCAAAGTCCAAGATGGTGGTCCAGCTTCTGACTTCCTGTTTTATCTCAGCTGCTACGACATGGTGTACACTCAACAGATGTTTGAAACACCTTCAGTTTGTAGGCAGGATAAGACTTTATTTTATTTTACTGCATTGAACTCAGGACTTCAGGCATGCTAGGCAGGAGCTCTACCACTGACCTACATGTCCACTCCAGGGATTTAACGTTTAAAGCACAATTTTTATCTAGGTAACTATGTTACAGTAAACATTTAAATTCTCATTGAACCAGTTTGTGCTTTGAGACTTTTCAATAAGTTGCATGTCAGTAATCAAAATAAAAACAGAAAGATTAAAATCAAATTCTAAACTAGAGTGACCTAGAAGGCCAGTGAATGACATGAAGCAAGGAGCACAGGCAGTGAGGTAATAGAGTGGGGGGATGTTCACCCATGGCACTGACCAGGGTGATGGTTTTGACACATCAGTTGAACTCTGAGATTCAGGTTACATCCCCATGAATGATAGTGTCTCACAGAATCCACTTGAAGATCTCACAAGTACACACACACACACACACACACACACAGGGTATGTTTGATAAACCAATCCAGACTAACTCCTCCTACATATCACTGGTCAGGTGTTGTAGACAGTGTGAGAGTGGAGAGGACTGTTAACATTGCTGAAGCCTGGAGTTGAACAAAGAGGGAGACAGGACAGGATGAGGATGACCCAGAGCTGTGCCCCAGAGAGCTCTGCTGCTTCCTTAGCTCTAACTGCAGTGTCCTCCGGGCCCCAGAGGATCTGTGAACAGACATGTCTCATCCAGTCCCCTGTGAAGTGAACATCCTAAACCAGGGGTGACGCCACCCTCCTCTTCCTGGTGACTTAGCCAGGCCACACTCCCTGGCCATCTGGGCGAGGCACAGCCTCCTCTGAGGTGAGTTCAGCCAGGTAGGCGGCCCTGGAGCTCAGGGCCATGGCTGTGCTGGGCTTGCTGTCCTGCTGTTGAGGTGCCCTGTTAGGTCCTCATGGCATTTCCTCATCTTTCTCTATCACCTGTTTTTCTGGAAAAAAATGTTTTCACCATAAAAATTTCATATATATTTATTTACTGTACCATCTTAAATTTTGAGTTTTTATTTCGAATTATTTATGGACATATAATGTTATATATTCCTTCTTATGCTTCAGATGGTCGTAGGAAGCTGCATTACTTGTCCTGAGACTGCAACTTTGCAGAGGGAGAAGGGCTGACCTTGCTTCAGGTGGAGGTAACTCCTGAGGTCGCAGTAATGCTGCAAGCAAGTGTCCTGAGCATCTTCATTTTTCCCTGATGACACACACAGTGGGTGGACCAGACCCAAGCTCTCCATGGCAGAGGGAGGACATTGTGTTCCAAGGACACTGAGGCAGTGAGGTGCTCTGCTGCACCCTGGGGTGGGACACAGCCCTCCCTTGGATCACTTCCGTGATGTTAGGCAGAGACCCTGAGACCCTAGATTGTCAGTCTGTACTAGGAGGAAATAAGAAGAGTAGGACCTCAGAGGCTCTGGGGAAGGCAGAGCATGGTCAGCAATTCCTGGGTGCTTCTGGCTAATAAGGTGGCTGTGTGTTTGTCTACCAAAATTGTCACCAATTCCCCAAGTTAAACGTGCACAAGGCTGTTCCCATGAAACATACGCAGGTGCCTAGAGAAGACTAAGAGAGCAGGTGGGACAGGCCCAGGATATAGAGCAGACTGGGTCCCTGGTTTTGTGTGTTCTTGGGGTTCTGGGCTCTGGAACAGTGGCAGAACCTATCCCTCACTGCCCCCTCTCTCCTCTGTCCTTTCAGAAAATTCTGTCCCTGTCTTCACTGCAGCTGTTTGTGTACATTCCTTGCTTCACTTTGTCTACAGAGGTTGTGATTTTAGTTCATGGGAAAGATCTCAAATTCTCCAAAGAGCGCAGCCTTCATCTGCCAACAGGTTAGGATTTCATGGACAGGAAGTCTATCTGTCGATCATGTCTCTCTCCTATGTCTATCATCCACCTACTACCCACTACCCACCTACCATCTCTGTCCCTGGGCCTGTACCTCTCCTGCTGTCCACCTCTGCAGTGGGTCTCAGTCATGCTAGACCCTAGGGCTACAGCATCAGAAGCCGTGTAGTGTGTCCACTGCTTCAGTGCCTCCCAGCAAGGGCTGTCAAAAGTGGACTATCACATCTGATTTAGGAAATACTACAAGGGAGAATATGTGCTTCAACTTTCCTTTCTTAAAAAAAAATAACCTCTGAATTGTAGCTACTGCTAGTCTTTCTAGAGAGAAGACACATCAGACCCTTAGGCTGATAGAAAATCAAATTCAACAGTTAAGCTTTCAGAGACAGAAGATTGGAAAGATTTAATCTCTTTAATAGAAAACATGGAAGAAGCCATTATTGATTTCCTTAAGAAAGGTGGAAATGTTCATTGCCCTTTTTACTTGTTTTGTCACTATATAAAAATCCTGCCTCAAATATTTTGGGTGGTGTTTTCCCTGTAGAGAAGTAGAATGACCCCAGAAGTGCAGGCCAGGTTAACAAGCTCTTTAACAGTGTCTAGCATCTACAGAGAGGTGGCTGAGCATCAAGACAGAGCAGACAAATGTGACCTACCTCAGAGACCTGTCTGTGTGGTTTTGTTAACTCACTGTCTCTCAATTTCCATGAAAATTGATTGTGGCTATTGATAAAGCAGATGGTGTTGGCAAAACAGCCAAAGTCTTTCTGGTGAATAGCAGTGATCCTTGAATGCTTGTTCTCCACCTGAGATTGAGTGCAAATGACAGAGCTTGATTATGGACCAGGAGGAGCCCTGGCTGGGCTGAAGCAGATGAGCCTTTCCACAAAGCTGTGTTTAGTCAGAGTCAAACTGATAACTATCTCAGACTGTTGTTTATATTTGCCTTTATTTAAATATATATTTAAAGTTTATTCATTTTATATAAATAATAACATAAAAATTGTCAAATCCAAATACTTTTCTTTAAAGTTGATTGTAAGCTTTACTTGCATGTCTTTTCTCATGTAATCCTGAAAACCAAGTATTGGAGATATAAATAGGTACCCAAATTGGAGAAATGAAGGATGGTATCTCATACTACAATAGCAGTGACAGCCAGGTCTAGGACAGGTTCTGAAGAGTGGGTAGTGCAGATGTCAATGAACAGCATGCCTGTTTCTTCATTTGTGAAAGTCAGAATTCAGGAAACTTTCATTTCTTTGCCTTACTTCAAACTCAACACACCTGGGGTCAGGAATCATTCTTATTATGTCTCAGGCAGAGTGGATGAGGAAGGGGAGGTCAGAGGTAGCAAGAGTCAAGGTTGGAAACCAGTCATGACCTTGGATCTTTATGGGTGGGTGCCCCTCAGATCTCAAAAGGTTTGGTCCTGTGTGAAGACTGCAGTGTGCTGGAGAGAACAGCAGAGTCATTCCAGACTCACAGAGCCTCCCAGAATGTCCTGGTCCTAAAGGGTTGGGGGGTTCAAATGTTAAATATGCATTCTTCAAATTATGTCTCAGCAACTTTTTAAACATTTCAAATATACCATATAGATCTGAGAGTCCTGAGATGCCAGCTAAAACCAGATTGTTAAACCAGAAATATTAACACTTATTTCACACTTGAATAATTTAAACTCAGGAATTATTGATTCCCCTTGTGTGCAAATGTCCCCCTTTTTTGAGCAATGATTCTGAAAATATGCACTGTCATTAACAAACTGCTTTCTTCAGGAAGTCATGAACTTGAACTGTTGCAACCTCACTACAAGTTACCAACTCACTTCACCCACAGGTGAGCTTTCAGATAATTTTTTAAAAATATTGTTTACTACAGGTCATCTGAATTCCTAGGATCTACAGGCTCTGGAACATCCTCTGGTTGGCACAATCAGGCTGATGCACTGGTGTGTGTCAGCTAAGAAGTCACTTCAGCCCTCTGTACAACATTAACTCAAAGCTTTCTTGGTGGCCAAGGTGGACCCTCATGGACATCACCACCTGGATGACCAACCACACAGGGTGGGCAGATTTCATCCTGGTGGGACTCTTCAGGCAATCTCAACACCCAGCTTTGCTTTGTGTGGTCATTTTTCTGGTTTTCCTGATGGCCTTGTCTGGAAATGCTGTCCTGATCATCCTGATACACTCCAGTGCCAAACTCCACACCCCCATGTACTTCTTCGTCAGCCAGCTGTCCCTCATGGACATGATGTCCATCTCCATCACTGTGCCCAAGATGCTCCTGGATCAGGTACTGGGTGTGAGTACCATCTCCGTCCCTGAATGTGGGATACAGATGTTCCTCTACTTGACACTAGTAGGTTCTGAGTTTTTCCTTCTGGCAGCCATGGCCTATGACCACTACATGGCCATCTGCCATCCACTTCGCTATCCAGTCCTCATTAACCATAGAGTGTGTCTCCTCCTGGCATCTGGCTGCTGGTTCCTGGGATCAGTGGATGGCTTCATGCTGACTCCTGTCACCATGACCTTCCCATTCTGCAGATCCCTGGAGATCCAGCACTTCTTCTGTGAAGTCCCTGCTGTGATGAAGCTCTCCTGCTCAGACACCTCGCTCTATGAGACTCTCATGTACCTGTGCTGTGTCCTCATGATCCTCATCCCTGTGACAGTCATTTCAGGCTCCTATTCCTGCATCCTCCTCACCATCCACAGGATGAACTCAGCAGAGGGCAGGAGGAAGGCCCTGGCCACCTGCTCCTCACACATGATGGTGGTCACACTCTTCTATGGTGCTGCCGTCTACACCTACATGCTCCCCAGCTCCTACCACACCCCTCAGAAGGACATGGTGGTGTCTGTGTTTTACACCATTCTCACCCCTGTGCTGAACCCCTTAATCTACAGTTTCAGGAACAAGGATGTCACTGGGGCTCTGAGGAAAATGTTGAGTATGGGACCTGTCTTTCAGGAAACAGTAAAGTAGGGGATTTGGGTTTCATGGTTTCTCCTTCTCTCCAAGTCAGATGATGAAGATCTCCTGGTGCCGTCTCTTGGGTTCCTACTCCACAGTGCTGCACCCCTATGCTCCTCTCAGGGGTGAGCCTCCTTGTTCCCTGCTTGTGCATTCAGGGTACTCATGCAGCTCCCGTGTATCCACCTTATATACCTAAGTTCACAAGGACTTTCTCCTTCTAGGGGAAAAATCATATTATTAGGAAACACATTGTTGATATTTAGAGGATGTGGTCCTGAGTGTTCAACTGATGAGGTGGAGACAGAAAAAAATCTTGTGAAGCAAAAGGAGTTACAGGGTTCCTCATAGGTGGATAGAAGTTAAGGGTACAGGGGAATTAGTAGAAGTAATCTTTATCCTGCTAATTCTCTGAAAATTTGTATTGTTGTATAAATAAATAGTTATATAACCATCTAAGAGTTAAATAACCAAAGATTCATTCTGTTCAGCTATAGTGCTCTGATTCTTATCAAATATAGAGAGGTATGAATGAAGAGAAAAACTTGTATATATGTAGATATACAATGTAAAGTTATAGCATTTGAAATGCTGAATGTGATTACTAGAGTGAGTGAACTAACACATTCATTACCTCACATCTTTACTATCAGATTTGCTCTCTTTTTTCTTTGCACTGAGCACAGTTAAAATATGCCCTCATGAAAAATTTCACACATACCACATGGTACTCTTAACCAAAGTCCTTGTGCTATGTTTTATAATTCCAGATGTATTTGCATTGTAACTGAAAACTTGTTCTCCCTGTCAACATGTCCCTACCACCCCAGCCCTTGGCGACCATCACCTACTCTCTGCATCTGTCCCTCCTACTTAGATTCCATGTAGACCTGAGGCCATGCACCGCTGGTCTTTCTGTGTCTGCCTTCATTTACTTGGCCTGGAGTTCTCCACCTATGGGATCTCAGTGGCAGTATCTCCTTCTCAGGACTGAGTGGCACCGATTCTATATGTCTATATGCCTGTAGATATAGACAGCTACATGCCACGTCTTCCTCATCTATCCACCTCTGCCAGACAAGAAGTTGGCTTCCGTGTCTTGACTCCTCTGGGCACAAGCACAATAAACATGGAGAACAGGTTCTTGAGGAGCTTATTTCACTACCTTTGGATACAGACCCAGAAATGGGATCACCAAGTCCCTTAGCCGTCCCATTTTTAGTAGATGTCGAAGGCTCAGGCAGCTTTCAGTTATAGCTGCCAGAATATATGATTCCTCCACAGGGTACAAGCGTTCTGTATTCTCCAATGCCTGCCTTCGTGGTTTTGTAAATAACCACCCTGACATGTGTGAACTGGTATTTCAAGCTGGTTTTAATCGCCTCTTCCTGATGATCCATGATGCTCAGCCACTTTCCATAAAACTTTGGCCACTTGTCTGTCACTTTAAATCAGAAAATGCCTATTTTTAAATTGAATTATTTGATTTTTGCTGTCATGTTGCTTGAGTTGCTCTTGTAGTGTGGATTTTAACCCCTCATGTGGTATACAGTTGGCCAATATTGTTTTCTGTTGGGTAGGCTGCCTGTGCATCTGGTTGATGTCTTTCTTTGCTGTGCAGAAAGTTTCTGGCATCTTGTATTCATTCATTTTAATTTTTACATGTTGCAGATTGTGTTTTCTGGTGTTGTCCAGAATATCATTGTCAAGACCATGTGAAGGACTGTTTCCCTTTGTTATTTATTTAGAGATTAAAATTTCATGTTTTACACCTAAGCCTTATTCTACCTGATTTAAATTGTGTTTGTGCAGTAAGAAGGACTTACTTATGTTCTCCCTAGGAAGATGTCCAGCTTCTGCTGAGCCATTCACTGAACAGACTCTTCTATGCCACTCCTCATCCATGGGACCCCTCATCAACGACTGATAGCCTACCATGAGTGGGTGTGTTTGGGGGCTCTTAATTCCATTGATACACACTTCTGTACTTAGGACAGTGCTGTGGTTTTATTATTGTAGTAAAAATCACTTGAAATAGAGCATTCTGGAGGCTCCAGTCTGTTCTTCTCATCAAGGCTGCTTTGGCTATTTGGAGAATTCAGGGCATCCCTATAGTTTTTAGGACACTACTTTTTATTTCTGTAAACAATGCCATTTACTGTAGTTATGAACCCATGAAATTACATTACATATCCCTCAGCCTATTGCCTGTATTTGCTATTGGATTGGCGAGCAGAGTCTTCTCTCCACTGAGTAAACCAAATCTAGTGGCTGGAATACACTGCATTGGAATAAATAGCTATAAGTTATCAATCAAAATTTTTTGAACGAGTGAGTGATAAAAAAGCATATTTAACTTTGAAAGTTCATAGCTATGTGAAAGGGGCCATGCCAACAGTCCCCAGCATAGTGAAGCCCAAATAAATTATTGCTGTCTCAGCAGTTAACTGTACAAAAGCAAAAAACAAAACAAACAACAACAATAACAACAACAACAAAAAAGACTCAACCTCATTCAATAGAAATTTGAAAGGGGATGTTTTAGAAGATCCCAAAATGTGTAAAGATTTTCCCAACAGAAACACACTGAAAGGAATCATTCAATTTTTCAAAATAAACACAATACTTTAGAAAATTCTGATGAAAATAACCACTGAAATTAAATGTTGTAGTCCATACTACTCAGTTACTGTTTTGAATATATAAACCATTGTATATCACTGTATATGTATGAAGAAAAGATTTCACTAGAAAAAAAATGCACAAAGAACATAGTCATTCCATAAAGTGGTAGTTACATGGAGAAACATGAAAAAACATATAGATGATAGATAGATAGATAGATAGATAGATAGATAGATAGATATAGATATAGATATAGATATAGATATATTAGTAAGCAAGAAATGCAAGTCAAATATGATAACTCGAACAAATTGACTAAGGTGGAAAAATACCATATTCCAGGCTGCTGTAGAAATACCATATTCCAGCTGGATGTTGTAGCATGATTCGGTGGTTAACAGAAAGCAACTTATTGGTATATATTAAAATGTTTGGATGACTGTTCCCTGCATGGAATTACTTTGCAAAACAAACTAAGAGAGTGATTTCTGCATAAGAATTTTTATTTCAGCTCAGTTTATAATCGATGGATTTGAACATAGAAAAACTGCACCTTTAGGAAAGGACTACATTCCTGTTTAAATCACCTGATACATAGTAACCACATTAAATCAGTTTATTGAGAAGTCTCAAAACACAAACTGTTTTATTGAAAATTTAAATGTTTACTGTAATATATTCACCCAGATAAAAATCATGCTTTAAATGTTAAGAGTGTAGGTTTAGCACAAGACAACATCCAAAATTTCAAGCTGAAGAGACTTCATGCAAGGATTTGGCTACAAAGTGGCCATGACCTAAGTGAGGCTGGTGGAGAAGAAGGGAGCCTATCAGCCAAGGACCCCATTCCTCCCTCTGTATCTGCTGTTCACTCTCTACTGAGTGTGGAGAGTGTATGCCGAGCCACAGGCAGGACGCCATAGTGACCCAGGTGCCCACATCCTGCAGTGCTGCTAGAACTCAAAATGCCTTCTGCATGCTGGAGCCTGGAGCCAACAGGGTTCCTGTTGTGCCCAGGTGCTTCAGCTGCCATGGACCATTTCCAGCAGGGAGAAAAGTCCCAGCTTCTTAGTTTCTCCCACACTTGAAAGGACCCCAGGGCTGCATCCCACAGAGTTACAGGAAACCAGGGGGCAAGGAGGCAGGATAAGCCATCTACAGGCTGAAGCCCTGCAGGTCACAGGTAGGTACAGCTCAGGAGGCAGCCTGGCCAACAGTGTGTGTGTGTGTGTGTGTGTGTGTGTGGACCCAGGCTGTCACAAGACCTCCATGTGAGGGTGAATGATAAGCATTGTTTCAAACATAGATAGAAAAAAAGTTGAGCAGAATTTCACTGCAAATTTTGAGAGAGAACTGTTAAAAAATAGATGTTGAAGGATCTTGCTTCTGTCTTCCTCTATTTCACTGTAGCTGCTTCAACAGATGTTTGAAAAACTTGTAGTTTGTAGGCATGATAGGAATAATTTCATTTTACTGCATACCTAGTTATTGAACTCAGGGCTTTATGCATGCTCAGCAGGAGCCATAATCCCAGAGTTACACCTCCCCTCTTAACATTTAAAGCATGATTTTTATCTGGGTAAATATATTAAAATAAACATTTAAATTTTCAATGAAACAGTTTGTGCTTTGAGACTTCTCAATAGTTTGCATATCAGTAGTTGAAATAAAAACAAATATTTTAAAATTAAATTCTAAATCACAATGACCTAGATGGCCAATGAATGACAGGAAACAAGGAGCACAAGCAGGGACGTAAGAGAGTGAGGTGGACCTGTGAGGAGGACTCCTTCCAGGCTTCCAGGACACTGAGGAAGTGACGCTTTTCTTACACAACACAGACACACACACACGCACACACACACATGCATGCACACAACACACACACACACACAGTGTGGTTGATAAACCAATCCAGACTAACTCCTCCTACATGTCACTGGTCAGGTGTTGTAGACAGTGTGAGAGTGGAGAGGACTGTTAACATTGCTGAAGTCTGGAGTTGAACAAAGAGGGAGACAGGACAGGATGAGGATGACCCAGAGCTGTGCCCCAGAGAGCTCTGCTACTTCCTTAGCTCTAACTGCAGTGTCCCCCAGGCTCCAGAGGATGTGTGAACAGACATGTCTCATCCAGTCCCTTGAGAGCATCCTAATCCAGGAGTGATGCCATCCTCCTCTTCCTGGTGACTTAGCCAGGCCACACTCCCTGACCATCTGGGTGAGGCGCAGCCTCCTCTGAGGTGAGTTCAGCCAGGTAGGTGGCCCTGGAGCCCAGGGCCATGGCTGTGCTGGGCTTGCTGACCAGCTGTTGAGGTGCTCTGTTAGATCCTCACGGCATTTCCTCATCTTTCTCTATCACCTGTTTTTCTGACAAATACAAATGTG